ATACCTGTAACTGAGGGGGGGTGTGTGTCAATACCTGTAACTGAGGGTGTGTGTGTGTCAATACCTGTAACTGAGGGGGGGTGTGTGTCAATACCTGTAACTGAGGGGGTGTGTGTGTGTGTGAATACCTGTAACTGAGGGGGTGTGTGTGTGTGTGAATACCTGTAACTGAGGGGGTGTGTGTGTGTGCGGGTGTGTGTGTGGGTGTGAATACCTGTAACCAAGGGTGTGTGAGACTGTGGGAGGGTTGCGTGTCCGTCCCTGCACACGGGCGGACTTTGTGAGCGCCTGCTCCATCCTCCCTGTCAGGGAGGGTGGGTGGGCGAGGGTGGGGTGTGTGTCAGGGAATACACCCCTCCTCCTGTTTTGATGGCACATCCCTCTTTCTCTCTGCAGCTTCGGTTACCCCGACCCCTCGTACCTCGAGCGAGTGCAGCAGGAGTTGGCAGCCAAAGGCATTACAGCGGACTAGCAGAGCCGGAGAGAACAGATACGCTGACGGTGGGGGAGGGGAGGGGTGCAGTTTTGAGTCACCCACTTCGCTGAGGCAGTCTGGGTTCACATGGTGGCTCGTATGTCGGGGTGTATGTGTTAGAAAGTGAAAAGACTTTCTTATTTCTTTCTCATTCGTTGTGGATGTGAAAATCTTGTGAGCACAGTTTACACAGCTGTAGGTTCCAGCAGAGAGGAACTGTGTCCCGATTGGTTGGCCGCAAGTCGCTGATTGGTCTATGGGCTGGTGACCCATTGTCTGTAACGGGGTACTTCTGCCTGCCAACAGCTACGTGATTGGTTCTGAAGTTGCTGGACAGCTTGGAGCTGCGAACAAGACTACAACCAGCTGTCTCTCTGTTCTCTGCAGTAAAAGCCACTTCCAACATGGAGAGGAACAGATTCTCTTTCCTCCAGCATTTGCTGAAAGCTGTGACTTTTTAATCAAAAAATCAGAGACTTATTTTCTCCATGAACTGGTCACCCTGTGCCTGCTGCAAACCGGCAGCAACATCCGGACAACGAAGATTCTGGAACAGATCAGCACAAGAACCGTCTCAGCAAATTCTGTGACCAGGGAGCACGGAACCACTTTCTCCGTTTTCCCTTCTGTCCGTATCACCCGTGTTTTATTTTGCTGTCTCTATGTGAGAGTATGGTAGGGGGACATGATGAGGGGAATTTGAGTTTTAGTTGGTGGAGATGTAACCTGATGCTATGTAACCATTTACCTGTTGTCAGAGTCTAATTACTGGGAATAAATAGTAATTCTAGTTAAGTAGAGAACCTGGTCCATGCTTTCTGTTAGCCTGTGTTTAAAAGGTGGGTCGATCGATGTCTATAAAATCCTTAACATTTGTGATAACTTGGGAGAACTGCAAGCCTAATCTCTCATGTTATCCCCAGTGAGGGCTGACAGCAAGTCAATGTGAGGGATGGAGTGAGTGAGTGAGTGTGTGTCTAAGACTGAGACTGTGTGTGCGCGTGTGCGTGAGAGCGTGCGAGTGCCGAGAAAGTGCGTGTGTGCGCGAGTGAGAGAGAGTGCGTGCGTGCGCAAGGGTGAGAGAGAGTGCATGCGAAAGCGAGAGTGAGAGTGCGTGTGTGAGCATGTGCACGCGTGTGCGAGAGAGTGTGCGTGACAGCGAGCGTGTGTGAGAGAGTGAGAGAGCGCGTGTGCGAGAGCATGCGAGAGTGTGTGCGTGTGTGAGAGAGTGTGCTTGTGCGAGTGGGAGAGCGTTTGCGAGAGAGCATGTGCGAGTGCTTGTGTGAGAGAGTGTGCGAGTGCGTGTGCGCGTGCGAGAGAGAGTGACACAGAGAGAGATTGTGTTTGCGACCATAAGATACAGGAGCAGAGTTGGGCCATTTGGACCATTGATTCTGCTCCACCATTCAGTCATGGCTGAGATACTGGAGGCTTTGGAGAGGGTGCAGGAGAGGTTCACCAGGACCCTGCCTGGATTAGAGGGTACAAGCCGTAAGGAGAGGCTGGAAAACCTCAGGGTGTTTTCTCTGGAGGCTGAGGGGAGACTCGATAGAAGTCTGTAAAGTTATGAGATAGGGCTGACAGTCAGAATCTTTCTCCCCTCAGAGTTGAAATGTCTAAGACCAGGGGGCATGTGTTTAAGGTGAGAGGGGCAAGTTTTTTTACACAGAGAGTGGTAGGAGGGTGGGACACACTGCCAGGGGTGGGGGTTGGAGGGGCATTTCGATAAGCACATGGGTATGCGAGGAATGGAGGGACAGGGATCAGTTTAATTTAGCATCATGTTAGGCACAACATGATGGGCTGAAGGGCCTGTTGCTGTGCTGTACATTTCTATGTCCTATGTGTTTCCCAACCCCATTGTCCTGCCTTCTTCCTGTAACCCTTGATCCCTGTTACATTTCAGGAACCCGTCTATCTTGGTCTTAAACACACTCAGTGACTTGGCCTCCACAGCAATGTGTTCCACACATTCCCCACCCTCTGGCTGAAGAAATTCCTCCTCATCTCAGGTCACCCCTTCACTCTGAGGCTGTGTCCCTGGGTCCTGGTCTCTCCTACTTGTGGAAACATCTTCTCCATGTTCAGTCTGTCCAGGCCTCTCAGTATTCTCTCAGTTTCAATCAGATCCCCCCCTCACCTCATCCTTCTAAACTCCATCGAGTACAGACCCAGAGCCCTCAACCCCTCCTCATATGACAAGCCCTTCATCCCCAGGATCATTCTTGTGAACCTCCTCCAGACCCCCTCCAACACCAGCACATCCCTTCCTTAGATACGGGGCCCCAAACTGTTCACAACATTCCCAATGGGGTCTGACCAGAGCCTTACACAGCCCCAGCAGTACATTCCCGCTCTAGCCCTCTCGAAATGAATGCAAATACTGCATTTGCAATCCTAACTGCCAGCTGAGCCTGTTTGTTCATCTTAAAGAGAATCCTGAAGCAGGACTCCCAAGTCCCTTTGCGCTTCAGATTTCTGAAGCCTTTCCCCGTTTACAAAACAGACTGTTCCTCTATTCCTCCCACCAAAGTGCATCACCTCACACTTTCCCACATTGTATTCCATCCGCCGCTCCTTTACCCACTCTCCCAGCCTGTCCGAGTCCTTCTGCACTTCCCCCATCTCCTCAACACTGACCTGTCCCTCCACCTCTCTTTGTGTCATCTGCAAACTGAGCAACGATGCTCTCAGTTCCTTTGTCCAGATCGTCGATGTATAACGTGAATAGCTGTGGTCCCAACACTGACCCCCTCACAGCTCCGTTAGTCACTGGCTGCCACCCTGAAAAAGACCCCTTTATCCCCACACCCTGCCTTCTGCCAGCCTGCCAAACCCTCTGTCCATGCCAGTACCTTGCCCCTAACCCCATGGGCTCTCATCTTATTTTAGTAGCCTCCTGTGTGGCACTTTATCAAATGCCTTCTGGAAATCCAGATAGATCACATCCACTGGCTCTCCTGTGTCTAATGTGAGGATGAGAAAGACTGTGTGAGGTGGGGAGAGAGAGTGAGGGGAGTACAGAGAGGAGGTAAGGAGGAGACGCACAGCGGGAGAGACAGAGAAACCCAAGCAGAGCGACACACACAAAAGGACCACAGAGAGGGGCGGGGGGGGGCACACACAGTGAGAGTGACAGAGAGGGAGTGGCACACACCGAGAACGACACAGGGACAGAGATTCACACACACGGCAGTACAGAGAGAGACACACACATAGGGAGACATCAGGACACAAAGACACACACAGACAGGCAGAAACAGTTACACAGAAGAGGGACAGACTGAAAGGGAGAAAGACACATACAGACAGAAAGGGACAGACATACACAGGGACAGAGAGAGATAAACACACGGACAGAGAGACAGATACACACAGAGGGATAGAGACACACACACACAGACAGGCACACACAGGGACAGAGAGAGATAAACACGCGGACAGAGAGACAGATACACACAGAGGGATAGAGACACACAC